TCACCAGTCACCCAAGAAACGGACGCAAGCTAAACTCTCGGGTTTTACTTTATTCGCATGATAAATAGATGCAAACCTTTTGTTTCGGGCGTTTTTTCGGTGGTTTTGTTCTTATTTACGACTTTTTCAACGCTAAAAACTTATGGTTCAAACGTGTGTGCTGTCCGAAATAATAAAAAATCATAAAATCCTCGGGACAAGAGCGGAATAATTTTTTCGTTCGTGGTGTTTGCCGGAAAATATAAAAAAATAGGAAAAAACATCGACAAACATCGAACGTTTTGAACGTGCATTTTTTTATTTGGTCATTCTCGATGAACGTTGTGGGTGCACATACACCCACACACTGTCGCCCGACATTGCGGCTTTAATTTTTTTACATCGGCCGCATATGAATGAGGACTTTTTCAATTAAATGCCAATTTGGCGCGTCAGCTGTGTACACCCCTGGTGAATTCACGAAGCTACTGTCGAGCGAGGCACACAAACAAACAAACAGAAAAAAAAACGGAAAATGAAGATGAGTGACACAAAAATGCAAAAATCATCAGCGCGTGTTTTTGTTTCAGCATTTCAGTCAATCGAATAAGTCAGGCTTATTCCTAAGGCAGCACAGTCGTGGAGAAAATACAGTTCAAAGAACTCTCCGCATGGAATGCAACAATGTAGTGTGTTGTGTTGTGTTTTTTTTTTCTTCAACTCGAGGCAATAACGCGATGGTTTGCTCCGCGAAGAAGTACACGAGCAAGAACAGAGCGAAGCGAAGCGGCGAGAGGCCGAAGACGGACGCATGACATATTAGGTGCAATTCATAACATCGGGCGGCAAACGCCAACCAAAGCACACCAAGGGCTTCCAGCGCAAGACGGATCGGATTTGGAAAAAGCGACGAGATGAACGGTGCAGCTCACGACCGCAAAGGGAATCATGAGCAATCATAATGTAGAAAGAATAGAATACGCCGTGAGCAAAATCAACTCAGACGCGAATCAAAGCGCGAATTTCAGCTTGGATTCAATTTTAACCCAGCCACAGCGGAACGGAAAGAAATACGATGATTTTTGGTGAAATTTGCGATGGTTTTCTTGCGCAGTATACAAGTCTAGCGGTTTAGTTGGCATGGGAAAGAACGCGTGTATGTCGAGGAGGCGAGGAGGCAAGGAAATACATTTGTCCAGGCGATCGCTAGATACTTATTAGCGGCTGACATTCGATTTGTCTTCGCCCCGGCTCGGGAGAGTCGCGCTCGCCCATCGGCCTTTCGTATCTTCCGCCGTAGATACTCACACATCTACACATGTGTGTTGCAATGAGGATCGAAAGAAAAGCCTTCGAGTTTGAGCGATTGCGGGCGGAGCACCTTCGGCGTGCATAACTCGATTCACCGTTTTTTTTTTGGGTCTCACTCAACCTGCCTAGCAAACTGGTCTAATATTTCAACTCAAGCTTGTGGTAAAAAAAAAAACTTTAATTATTAACCCTAGGATGGGTTGTTATCTCGTCGAGTATTGACACGCATGTTGCGATATTCTGATTCATCGCATCTTGAGTTGACGCTGATCCACGGGGCTAACTCTCCGGTTAACTATCGCATAAGAGGCAATCAGTGGCTTGTCACTGCGCGTTATACGCAAGCGGAAAACATGCCCCTCCGCCCGCGACCCGAGTGATGGATCACCGCCGCCACACGCGGCCACTCCACAAGTGAACAAGTGCAATGCGAACTTTCTATCCCGCGCATCCGACGTCAAGTGCCCGTTTCATCACAACAATCCAAAAACGTAATCTATTTACCAACATAAAAAAACGAGTAAATATTAACCACATCTACATCTACATATATTTACTAATCAATAGAATACTCAACGGAAATATTACTAGAGAGAGATAAGCTTGAATTGTCATGATCACATCACATCACATCGCATCAAACTGAAAAAATAAATACAAATACGATGTGATGTTTGTTCGTTTCTACACCTTTGCGAGCTTTCGAGGTTTCCTTTATTTTATTGCCTTCCATTTCCACGGTTGCGTTGCAATCGAACTCGCGTTAATTTCCTGTTCGATGAGCGCGCGCGATTTTTTCCTCCGCGGGGCGTTTAAAGCAGCGTTTTTATTGTGACACTTTGCACGCGAAATATTTCGATGCCGGTAGCATTCAAGTTTAATATTTTATATCAGCGTGTTTTCCACTGCGAAGAGTTTCGCTATCGGTTGTTACCTTTAACAAATATTCTTTTCACATACACAACGGGGAATTAAATTTTGAAAAATAAATTTTTATTTTGATTAAATATTGATTGATTGTGTATTTTACAAAATTATTTTTTTTAATTTGTATGAAATTTTATTAATTAAATTTTTAAATTTAGATTTTTAGTGGAATATGTGAATAATTTGTGTAATTTTTGTTGTGTAAGGTACATGAAAGTATCTCCTAACAAAAAGTATGATGAAGGTTCGGAGGAATCGCATTGATCATGCATTTTCCGTTTCCAGTATATTTAGCGTCGAAGCGTCGCCCCTGTTATCGCATCCTCGTTATCACCCAACACCTATTAACCGTTCGTTTTCTGCGCGCCGCCCCAGTCCGCACGTTCGTTTATTTCAGCCTCCGTACACTCGTCATTGATCCCCGCCGATATCCCACCTCCGGTGCGGCTGGCGCGCACTCCTCAAGCCAGCCGGCGAGATCCCGCCACATCCACAATACGCGCCTGCTGATGCCGGAATCGGCGAGTCCTTTTCTCGCGCGCGCACCGCTAATACCCGTGCGGATAGATAACACCGGCGGCGGGCTGGCAGGATCGCGCCGCGCTCATTACTCACACCCTCGCTGTGTGCGCGCAGCACTCATTTTCCAGCGTGCGATGACGCGCCTGGCATTCGTGTATCCTGCGGGCGGCTCGTAAAATCGCGGCGTAAATGAAGACGCTGCCGACGTCGACGTTCGGGGATGAGAGGAATAGGAAGCGGTCCTATCTGGCTGCCATCAGCGATATCGCCACGGCGCGTCAATGTCGAGCGTTGACAGTAAAATCGCATTTAACTGGAGTCCCGAAGCGCAGTGGAGTCTCCGAGAATATGATTAGGTTATCAATGCAGCAAACCATGCAAACGCACCAAAAATAAATTATTTACACCGGAAAATTTAATTTGATTTTATTTTTCATTCACTATTCACTAAAAAAAAACTACTACTAACTATTCTAGGTCCCCATTCACTCATCGCTTGTTTAAAAGCATTTTAAACTTGTCATTCGCATCGTGGACGAGAAATCTTCAAGTATTTGTATTATTGTTTACCTTGCTCGTAGATTTGATTTTGTTTCGCGTCGCTAGTGTTGACTGCAATGTGTCAAGTGAGCCGGAGACGCTAATTACCGTCGCGCATCTTTGACTGACGTGTTTTTCTATTTCATTTCGAGCACTTATTTCAAAATGCTATAAATATTTGTGTTTATTTTGAGAGCATTAATACGCAAACGAAATAATTTCGACAATGTCTTTTAAAATTGATCGTTTATCGAAGAAATAAAGTTCTACAGCGCGTAAAATTTAATACACGACATCAATGTTATTGATTGAATGTGCGAACGTTTAAACGACTTGCGCCTCATCACGATGGCACGTTCCATGCGTAAATATTTTCGCAGGCCGGTGCGATTGAAGGCGAGGGGACGCCGCAGTGAATCGAGATGAAAAATCAAATGGAATGGGAAAGTAAGGTATTAAATATTTACAATTTTTGATACAAGTAAAGGAAAAAATACAATTTACTAAGTTTTTAATATATTTTTTACTAATTTTTATTTTGACAAGTTTTTGCCCGCGATTTCATCCAGGTAGTGTTTAATAAAAATGTAATTCGTTTTTACTCTCTTGTTCTAAACATAGTATGTGTCAATTCTATCGATAAGATTCGCAATTATATTTAAAAATAAAATAATGACATAAAGAATTGCTAATAATGCACATCAACGCGCCATCTCGGATTTAACTATTTGACTATAACTATGATTGAATCTCAATGCCAACTTTTATCTTATAGAAAAGGGCTGTCCTTAGGGTTTTCCCGGCAATTATTCGAATTTTTCTCGCCGTAAAAACTATCCTTGGACTTTAACGAACATTTTAAAAAAAGAATTGTCCAAATTGGTCTTATTATTATAGGTTGACGTTTGAATATCATTTAAAAAAATGTTTGAAAATTTGGTTTTAAAGCTATAAAAAATCAAAGATTCCAAAAATTATCGATAAAATTTATTCAATTAGGACTTTCTGAATATTCTGTAGGAAACTCAGAGTTTATTTTTATTGTTAAAAGTTGTTTAAATAAAAATAAACATTTTAAAAATTGAAAACCAAATCAAAACCCTTAAAACGCAAAATTCTAAATCTTAGCCATATAAAATGTGGTGTAGATATCGTCGACGGGTTGAAGAAAGCAAAATTAGCATAATCAGAATAATTTTTAGCAGCTGACAGTTTGCTTCCTAGTTTTTCTCTCCTTTCTCCCGCACTTCCACATTCAGATTTTCCTTTTCCTCGATTCAGCCTGTTGTTTTTATGGCGCTGGAACTTCCGCCTAAGTTTTTTCCAAGTTTCCGGTTGCGGCATTTAAAAATTCGAAAAACATGTTTTATTGTGCGATTTTATGAGAAAAATAAAATAAATGTGAAATGACGCGTGTGCACATTACTCGCGCAAAGTTATGCGCCGCACGAGAGCGCTGCCCGGGAGAAAACTATCAAATATTGAAATAAAATTCATCTCTCGACATCACGAACAGCTGCCACCTTATCGCCGCTTCGGGGGCGTTTTAAACTATGTGGAGAAGTTATAAATGCACCCGCGCGAAGATTTCCATCTGCCATGCAAGCAGTGTGCAGAATTTTTGAGACTTATGGGTGGAATCCAAAAGTTACCGGACTAAATTTACAAACTTTTTGACTGGAGAAAAATATTGATTTGGAAGAGAAATTATTCAAAATTCAAACATTTAAAAGTTTATTTATATTTTTTAGGTCATTTTAGTATCTATTAATTATTTTAATACGGTACATGTGCCACCACTCATATGTTTATAACATTTTACTACGTAAACTTCACGCCCATCAGCCCCTTGATTCAAACTTGAACACATCGTCATTAGTACATTTTTTTGATTCATTTTAATCAATTGTCTCTTTTGTTTCAAGCGTCGGTTTTGAAACCACGTTTTGATTGTATATTCACTCATTGATAACAATTTGGACAATTCCTTCTTTCGTTGTGGGGTTATAAATGCGTTTTGATCAAATTCATGCTCTAGAATAGTTCCTTCATATCTTGATAAAATTGTGCGTTGATGTTTTACAGCACCTGTAATAAACTTGATAGTAATTTTAAATTTTTTTAAATTAAAGACTTTACTTACGATTTTTCGTTGTACAGTTTTTTAATATCTCATTAATCTCAAATTCTGCTGTTACAGGTTGTGGAATTTCCTTAACCTCACAAGGCACATGTTCATCGAATGAGGAAGATGAAGATATTGAGTATGGTGGTGATAATTGTCCATTTCTAAGTTGATTATTGTCATTAAAACAAAACGCTTGATCGAATTGTGATAAAAAATCTTGGTTCATTTTGTTAATACGTCGGTATTAGGTGATATGCACATGTCAATTTGATGTTACAAGTATAAAATAATTTTTTGATGGTTTTATCTAGAGTGGGGAATTTTCAACTGCTGTGTAAGTTCAAATAGAAGTCTGAACTGCACTCGCAGTAAACGTCTTATAAGAAGATTTAAAAATTTGCTATTTTAAATCCTTTTATTATGACCTTTACCCCCGGCGGGTGGTACTCTTAATTGCCTCTGTTTTGAAAAACTAAACAGGTTAGTGACCTGCGATGACGTCATAATTTATATTATTTATAACACAAACAAGACCAATAATAAAACAAATAAAATGTGCTTAAAATAATTCTTATATTTTTCTAATTCATTATATAACATATAATATGGTCAACAATACATTACTATGACATTATATACAGGTACATTTTGTTTAACAAATAATTCAACACATATCAAAATTTTAAAAATTTACAATATTACAGTTTTCTTTGTTCTTTTCTTCCATTTCCATCAAAGTCATCACTTTCACATATCCTCCGTTAACAAAAACATAAGCTTTGGAATAGTCTTCAACACGTGGGGGTTTAGCGTTTTTAAGTTTTGTCCTTCGGTTCTGGAACCACATCCTGACAGAATTCGCGGACATGCAAGCTTTTTGTGATAAATAAGCTTGTCTTTTTTTATTAACGTATTTGTCTTCAGCAAATGCCGTTTCAAGTACAGCAATTTGTGCTTTACTAAAGACAGGTCTGCGTTTAGAACGTTTAACTTGGTTAAATTGCAGAAATTCAGCCATTTCGTCTTCAGCGTTTGCATTTTCACGTTTTCGTTTTCGTGACTTGTTTATATCAGAAGAATTTTCTATTGGTGCATTTTCACTTGGGGTCACATGGTTATCAAGCAAGTTGATATCAAATTGGTTCAAAATATTATAGTCAATAGGTGTAATTGTGTTACCATAGAGTGTTTCGGGAACAATTTCTTCAAAACTTGGGATGGTTTCTTTTGGTAGTGGATTTGAAAGAAGCACTTCGTCAATATTTACATCTTGTAGCAAGTTTTCCACTTCACTTTCCGACATACCAGCGAGGCTGTTACACAATTCCAATAGATATTCGTCGTTGACAGCACCAAAAAGTTCTTCGATACGGGGACCCATCTTGAAAGCTTCAGAGATGTTGACCGTTATGTTTATTAGATAAAAATGATAACAATTTCAAAATGGTGCTTGTTTTTATAGGTGTGAAGAGGCTATCACCGGCCAATCAGCGTCGAGCATTAGGGATTAACGAAGGATTAAGTCAGGCGCCACTCCTTCGTCATACCTACCAATTGCGTCAAAATAACAACTAAGTTATTGTTACCTGTTGATGCATTTCTGTTTAATTATGCTTTTTGGAGTTATTCTTCAATTCTTCTATGGAAATATATTCTCCACCGAAAAGAACGTATGCTTTGTCGAACAATAATTTATCTCTTGCTTCGTCTATAACTTTTTTCCTTTTGACTTTTTGACGATGGTTATGAAACCACCTTTTAATTACTTTAACGTCCATAGACAATTGTTTACTCAAATCAATTATTCCAGATTCCTTTAAATGATCATTTTTAGAATACGCAGCTAACAAAGTCTTCATCTGAGTAGCATTAAATGTAGTACGAGTGCGTTTTTTCGGAACTTTTTTCACACTTTCATTTTCAGTTTCTGTTTCATTTTGTTCAATCTGATCAATTTGGCTTAAAGGAAGTGCATTTGAATCATAATTTTGAACAATAGCATCAGATCTATCAGAATCTGATAACGTTTCTGCAATTTTTTAATGTTAATTAAAGTAAATTATACAGTTTTTACATACTATTACTTACTTGTTACAATAGTGTTTTTCTGTAAAGGTTGTAAAACAGAATGGAGACGTGACAATTCTCTAACTTTTCTGTGTGTTTCTATTATTTGTGTTTTACCAAATTCACTTGAAGTTTCCGGTTGTGCACTTTTACTTAAATCAATAATAACAGATATATTATCACTGTTACCTAAAACAATAATTTGCTAATAAACAAATTAAAGAAAATGCTTTAACTTTCACATTTGCTCAAATAATCGCTGTTAAGCGATTCTTTGATTTACATATTAATATCTCTGTTTTGTAAAACTATTGTTAATTCAATTTGCTAGTAATTTAATTTGCCACTTATCGGTAATACTCACTATTTGTTAATGTATTGTTCGGGTTTTCTGTGCAACTAGACAATATATTAGAATTAGATTGACAGAATCCAGAAAAATGTTTATATCGCAGTTGTTCATACGGCTTTATGATTGGACTATTTAAATTCTCATGTACATCAAATGGTCGCCAAATTTGCTTGTGTTTTAAAGATTCTTCTATTAAAACAAAAAATAAATAGACTTACATTTGATTTTATTTGATTTTAAATCATTCACTTGCCTTGCATTGTGAGATTTATTTCACAACGAGTTGAATTTACGTCAAAATCTATAACAAAACCAGAATATTGTCTCGATAAAGATAATAATGTCAAATCCAAGAAGATATGGAAATACCAACACATTTTGTTTTGATGCAATATTCAATAATATTCAGTAAATTTGTTTACAATTTTCACAAAAGACAAAATGGGCAGGTAATAAATATTGAAATACATATATTTGGTATCTAGTGCACAAATAGAGGATTAGGATTAACATTGGCGATACACAAATTACGTACTAATTGCGTATATAATCCGCAGGCAGCTTACCTGACACCTGGACCAAGCCGATTAAAAACTTGGGAATTCAAGTGTAACCCCACTTGAACTCATCATCCGATTCCAAGAGGGCGTTAACACTTTGAAAATATATAAATATATTCAAATTTTGTTTGATTTTAGTTTTGTTGTAACAATCAAACAAGCAACTATTCAAATAATTTTTGAACATCTATCACCATGTCTACATTAAACGAAATTGTGGCAAATTTGGTGGCGAATGAAGAGTTATTAAACGCATTGAATAATGCGGAGTTTTTACCACCGAAAGAAGTTGAAATGCTTTTATCTTCAATTGAGTATAACAAATCAGAAGATACATACGAATATATGAATTTCCAATCTGTTTTGGAAAGTGGCGTAACCAAAACTCCTATGGAATATTCCGAATATATTGATAACTTTGATTGCTCATACTTTGACAATCATCCGAAATCATTTACCAGAACTACAATTTATCCAATAGTTGACAATTGTCAAACTGTTGAAACATCAGCTTCCACTGCAAAACCAGCAATGACTCTGGATGAGTTAATGAATGTTTTGGTAAGTAACAGAATCTACAGAATGTTTAAAATTTAATTACTAATAATGTTTATATTACAGATGAGTCCAGTTAGTTTACCCCGAACACCAGAAACCCCCGAAAGGTTTTCACCTACTTCATCGGTGCCTAAAGAAAAGAAAGTCAAAGTATTGGATCAGCAAGTTTTTTATTTGCCTGAATCAACTTTCAAAAAAGATTCAAGTAAGTTATTATATCTAATTTTTATTTTAAAATTTTGTTTTATATTAATTTATGTAATTTTTACAGAAAAAAGAATTAACCAGGATGCTTTCTACGAAAACAATTGTCAAAACAAGAGACGTTGTCGAACTACATTTTCCACACAACAACTTTCCATTCTAAGTTATTACTTTGACCAAGATGAATATATAAGTAATGCTGACTTAACTAATCTATCAAAACAACTAAATGTAGAAGAACGAAGAGTTAAGGTTTGGTTCCAGAATCGCCGCAATAAGAAAAAATCAAAAACACAAAAATCTTAAAATGTTAATCTTAAAATTGTTATTTATGTACAATAATATTGACAATAATATAATTATATGTTACCAATATATGTTAAACAATTGTAAATAATACCATAATTATGTAAATAAACTTGTATAAAATCTGAATTTTAAGTCTGATCAACAGGCGCCTTTGTTTTAAATCTTTGCAACACGTTTACAGCTTTGATTTAGAGTCGCATTTACATTATACAATATGGTAACGCCGGGACACATTCTGCATAAGTGAATAGAATTTTCCGACCACGGCGAGCGTTTGGGAAAGAGACAAACGGCGTGCGAAAGGCTCCCGAGCCACGCTACGACCCCACGAGATCATTGTTGTGTCGAAATAATCCCGCGGGAGCTCTAAAGTCTATAAAGACTCCATAAACTCTTCGCACCCACGCGACTACTACAAGTGGATGCTTTTAATGCGAGTGCAAATTGAAATCGTAATTAATTATGAAATTATTCAATCAAATAATTCAAACCACACAAAAATAATACATAAAATTATCTAATCAGTCAAATATGCGTAAATAAATAAAACAGTGTTTATTGTAATTATTATAATAATTTTGTTTGTCTTTGCACATTTTTTTGTAAATGTTTCGTGCAATGTTTGCCGATGTCATCTCGTCTCGGTACATTTAGACATCGCATGCTGGCAGAACGAGGGAGATGCTTCAGCGAGGGTCGAACGCGAGCTACCCCTCTCGCGGAGACGCAAAATAGACATGAGGGAGCGACGCGACAGACGAGACGGAACGAGCGAGAGAATGATTAATGGCCGCGCGCCCGGCAGAGGTTTTAATATACGATTCCGATCGTTTGCGCAATTTTTAAGTTTTAATAAAAAGAGTTGTGTCCCAAAAAACAAAAACTTAAAAATTGACATATGAAAAAAAAAAAAGATGGCAGATTTTCTACTCTTTAGGGTGCCTTTCCAAGAGAAAACAAAAGTGGGCGGTGAATCCAATGATTGACATGCGAGGAATATTCTTATTTAAAATGTATTTATCTATCAATAATTTGATAACATTTACAAAGCTATAGAAATTACATTAAATTTAATTCTAACATAAATTACAATATGAAAATATTTAAACAAATCATTAATCAAAATTTACACGTTTGTCGACGAAATGATTGCATGTGTTAGTACGGCATTAGCCTCTTTAAATAATAAAATCAACAAAAATAGTATTTGTTTGTCAGGTTATTAGTAATATTTACAATTTAACGCACTTAACCTAAAAATTTAAAACCAAGAACCAATTGTGGGGTTCAAATTGTCAATGTCTTGTGTATCATCTTCTTCTTTGTTTGATTTCTGCATGGCAGACACAGCATCGCGTTCTTTTTGCAATTCCTGCAACATCCTGGTGACTTGGGAACTCTGCGAAGGTTGATTCCAAGCTGGTGCAGTACCATTCTCTGGTTGGAAGCTAGAATAATACGAGGAGATGCTGTCCAATGGAATTTGTACAGTGTCCATTTCATAGACTGCTGGGGATGCCATCATAGGAGATCCGGATGTGGATGACACTGCAGAAGATGCAACCAGGGAAGCCCTCAAAGAGTTTTGTGGTGAATGACTCAATAGCCTGCTTACAATTGATTGATTCTCCTTTTTAGCGCTGGTTTTAGCCTTGGGAGCTGGTCTGGTGGAGTTAATTTCAGATTTTGGTGAAATTGAAGCAGTAGATGACGATGAAGAAATTGGGGAGCTGGCTGCAGATGAAACGCCGGAGGATGATGCTTCAGACATTGCTTCGGAATCCGGGCTGTCAGCAACTGCTTGATTACGCTTCTGCAAATCCTTCTTTTCCTTCATACGCCTGTTTTGGAACCAGATTTTCACTTGGCGTTCGGTGAGGACCAATTCCTGAGCGACTGTAGTACGCTTACTGCGACAGACGTATTTACCTTCAGCAAACTCACGTTCCAACTCCATGAGTTGATGAGATGTGTAGGCTGTGCGGGTGCGTTTTTTGTTTCCAGTGGGAGCCATAGCATGCGAGTGGTTTTGTAGTTTAGCAGCTTTACGGCGTTGTTCTTCCAGGAGTTGCTGACGTTGTTGTTGTTCAAGATGTTGCTGGATGTGAAGAGGTTGTGCCATTGGTGCAATTGGTTGACTAGGTGTTGACATACCAAAACTCTGCTGGTTGTAAGGAGATCCATATTGTTGGGTCATAGGATAATCTATAAAAAAATAAATAAATAAAATGTTAGTAATTGTTTTTAAATATCAATGGTGACTCATGACTTACCATTAAATTGTTGGTATTCTGGGCGATACTGTTGTGGAATTCCCATCTGACGTTGTGGAACTTGTTGTTGCATAAGCGGTTGCATATGTGGCAGATGATTGTGTTGCATGGAATGCCCACGATGTTGAATATTCTGATCATAAAGACCCTGATACCCTTGATGCATATATTGTTGGGCTTGCATTTGGTAGAAAATCTGTTCTTGTTGAGCTGCCATGACTTGCTGACGATGTCGTTGTTCCATCAACTGCTGTTGTTGTTGTCTAGGTTCCAGTTGAATGTAAGTATTGCTGTCGTTCCAGTTTGGACTCACGCTACCAACTGTTGAAGAACTAGTAGGTCTCATCTGAAAATAAAATAAAAAACAAATAAAAATTTTGTTTAATTTAAAGAGTTACCAAAAACCTTACCTCATTAACCGGTGGTATCACATCAAGGCTGATCAAATTCGGTAACACATCCTCAGTTGTTGTTGGATACGGCGGTGGTGGTGAAGTCTGCGATGCTTCAGAAACAGGAGAGAGTGATGTCATCGGTTGCTGCATTCCAATGATGCTCTGATCACTCTCATCGAGACCAAAGTGAATCTGGCGGGCGATGCTCATTTCAGCCGGTGAGACATGCTCGTGCTCTTCGACGTCAGCTAAAGTTTCCGACAGCTTGTTCATCTCGTCGATGAAGACCTCGTCGTTGATCTGCTCCATCTTCGTCGATGCACTTTTGGTATTGTTGGTTACGTCGCTTGTTGAGTCGATGTTGCAATTGTTGTCTTCGGATGTTTGTTTATTGGTAGTTGGGGTTGTTGACGATGTTTCTGACGAGTTGTCATCGATGTCAACACTGACCGAAGACTGATGCTCGATGACGTTCGACCGGCGCAATTTATATTCGGCGTTGGGCTTAAGCTCGGTATGCAGATTTACGTTGTTTTGCATTTTCACTAGCTGACCAATGAGCGCAGAGATACAAGGCTTAAAAGGCAGCTTAAGACTGTATGGGGGTTAAGGGGTTGCACTTGCACTTTGTCTCTTAAGAAGTTTCTTTGTCAGATTCACGAAAATTTAAATTTTTGAATTTATTTATTTGAATATAAAAACTTAAAAAATTTATAACAAAATTAAATTTTTTTAAATTTATTGTAAAATCAAATATTTTAAAATTTATTAATAGATTCACTAATATTTTATCTTATCAACACTTTTTTTTACTAATTTTAAATTTTTCAATATGCAAAATTTTGAAAATTACTATCTTGTCAGTCTGATTGATTCCCGAAGACTGATTGCGCGTTTAATTCCATCTGCACTCGACTGCAACACGACGAAGACAATTAAGTTTCGTAATTGTCACAACAATGCAACTGTGGTGGTTTAACATTAATGTCATTGCGTCTTTCCATTGCGGCTCGTTGTGGTTTCGAATCGTTGGAAACTCGTCAAATTGTCAAATCGCCCAAACCAGTAATTAGGCCCGCGGGCGACGAACGTAGACGTTAATTATCGGCTATCGAACCACATACATAGAGGCGTTCGCTTGCCGCACGTAACTTTACTTTTCCAAATATGAAATTCTTTTTTATTTCATATTTTGTTATCGGTATCGGCGTACGTGATGTCACTTTTCTAGGTGTCACAAACTTCAACTCACTTCTTGTTAAGTTAGCTGCACATTTATTTCTATTGAAATAAACCTTTCACGCACAAAATGCTACGCGAGTCATACAAACACGAATTGATACGTGATTTAAAAAATAATAATACAAATATCATAATAACAACAATAACAAAATACAAATTTACATTTATTTTTGTAACTTGTTAGATTTTGATGTTTCTTGACTTGTTTTGAAGGCAATATAATCATTATGCCTTTGAGTCATCAATATTTTTCTCAAATTTGGGTTTTTCCGTGTTTTACAACACCTGGTCAAAGAGCAACTCGATGATTTCAGGCCTCACGTAAACAAGATAATAAAACTACCCGGTATTGCTTGTGCAAATATTGTTTGTTTGTCAAAGATGGTCACAATAAGGGTTAATACGAAAAACAAATTGTGTTCTCTTATTTAAACATCAATAACAACAAGAACAACCAAGAATATCAATACTATTTTATTCTGCAGATATTGTGAATATGTTTGGTTGCATATTTTAAGATTACAAACAAACAAGTTGTAATAATTTTCTATGAAATCACTAGATGTTCAATGATTACCTAAGTTGAACCTCAAACACTTGATAGCAGAAGATAATATTCAAACTTGTATTTGTTTTTGCTTTGGATGCACAAATTTTATCTCAAAATTCTCTGAAAACTTGCATATTGTTGATTTTTAAAATATAAAGCACACGAAATAGAATAACCAGTTGGGATTAACATAATCCGGTCGGTCCGAAACGAAAAATATTTCCAATTCTTAATCCGCCACTCGAAAACCCAGCAGGTGATTAATCCGCCACTTGAAAATTTAGTGCGATAGTAAACAATGTCATGTCATTGAACCAATTTTCAGAAAAATTCTTTCTACCTAGGGCTTCACACGAGACGAGAGTGGACGAGACTATCAACAGTATCGTCTCGGTCTCGGTATCGTCTCGTAAAAGCGATACGAGACCGAGACGATACGAGAAAAGTCTCGCGATACCCGTGAAGCCTTTGTTCTTATATTTTTTATCACATTTAATGGTTTTAAGTGTAAAGAAAACATTGAAAATCTTTGCAGTACAAAAGTTTAGTAATTTAATTACTCCAAAAATACATACATAGGTTAAAATATTAATTATCCCAATATTATTAAGTTGTCTACAAAATATGGTCAACATGAACACTGAAGGTCATGATATTCGGTTACTGACTTGTTCTTTCGAATATACAAAAGAAATATTTCACAGATGGTCATATATTGGATTTCATATATTGGCCCTTTTCTCATTTTACTAATATCAACTTCATAAAAAAAAATTCACGAGACCAATAACGAGACCAAAACGAGACTCGGGACTGTGGTCTCGCTATCGCCGAGAAATTGATAAAACAAGTCTCGTCTCGGTATCATCTCGCTTTTCCGAGACGAGACCGAGACGATACGAGAAAAGTCTCGGTATCGCGTGAAGCCCTATTTCTACCTGAATCTGGATTTGAATTTTGAAAAATCCAAAAAAAGTTTGCAAAACTCAAGATTTAAAATGTTTATAATTGAATTTCACAATTATACAAAGTGTGAAATGATATAGTTTATCATCCTACTAATGATAATTCATCAACACTTAATTAAATTACATTCATGACTTTATAATCACGCATTAAACATTTTACATCGCCATTAAATCGCATTCAATTTAACAACGCTATCATAAAATGCTCGTAAAATATTCAAGTGTGACTTCTTAATTCTGATAATTTATGATTGAGTATTTTTTGAATGAAATCAGAACCACTCTTCAGCTAACAATGCGACTGGTCTGTCTGAAATTTATTGAGGGTTTGTGAATTGTGTCTCGTTGACTTCTTGGCTGGTGGCTTTTGTGCACGTCGCATCTTAGCATTGTAATGCCACGCTTACATCGCTTACGCACTAATACGGCCGTAATCCGCGTCTGTAAACTGAAAAGTCAGACGGAAATCCAAGATTATCGAGTCGGTGAAATACTCGACTCGACTGCAGTCTGAATTTGCATGCGCGCCGCGAGTCTAGCCACGCATTATCCGAATCCGGACGTTTCGTGGCGAATCGTAGCAGAACGCACTTACACGGACGCCATTTCAGTTACGCAAGTGTCTGTACGCTGGCAGGGTTGAAGGCGACGACGTCGAATCGGACGCTCATCGATTTAACGACCTCGCCGGCTAATAATAATCGATCGCATTCGCATTGCAGTGCAATTGCACTGCACGAAAAGGGAAATTGTAATGGCGCGACGCAGCGTCGACTTTCGCTCGTCGACGTTCAGTTTCCACTCGGTCGCAAATTGCCGAATAATAGTCGGTAATGATATAATATTGCAATGCTAATGAAGAATTTGCTGCTTAGAATAAGGATATCCGCATATCTCTCACCAGAATCACACATTAACTGTCCATCAGAGCGTTATCAGCAAATCTAAATAATGCATTTTTTGATCTTCATATAAAACCAATATCAATTTATTTAATTATAGAATAAAACAAATATTATATATATTATATCAGAATTATCCAAAAATTTACCTACATTTGTATTTATTTCATTCTATCGCAATGTGGAAGAGATAATAATTCAATAATTAATAAACCTTAATGTCTTTGCTTATTAGACACGTTTCTATTTTTTGAAACTAAAACAAAGGATTCCACAGTTATAGATTTCGCTCAATGTAACATATCCATGCATAATTTACATATAATTAATTATTAACTGTACACTTTGAAGCGCTATTGGTTTATTGTATGTTTGAACAACAGTAAGGACCAATCACACACTCAGGAGTCATAGGAAGATGCCCATCATTAACGACACAAATTAATTATGAATATTGGTAAATCGAATTACCCACATTTGTTTGAACAACGCATCCACGCAATAATGGAATATTAGACACCAGCAATAATCAATACTCATGTAGGTAAATGGTAAATTATAGCTTTTAAGTTTCGTTTGGATGAAATTCGCCCAAAATCGGAAAAAACACAGAAACTTTCTAATGCCATGTGGAACTCGCGTGACAAAATATTCAATTGTGACTCGGTGACTTTTGCATTACATTGTTGTCGTTTATCCAGTTTGACTCTTCGACAATTCCAAAAATATTTCGGAATATCAAGTGTTGGGAAGTTGAGGAATGAAACATGTTCGACTCGTTCAAGCTGGATTAATCAGTAGTTCTAAAAATGTGGCGATAAGTATAAACAATAGTGGATAACAATTATTTTCGGTGATAAGAAGGTGATGTTGAAAAGTTTGGTGGAATAATATCAGTGTTTGGGGATTTAAAGTGTGCGGTTGCTTTAAACTTAGTTGGAGAGCATGGAGGGCGGGCGACTTCCGGTTGCATCCGGTGCTTCTCTTGCTTGGAGAGGAACCATGAATTCGGGGATAACATCTACCGGAGTGTCACTACCAAACGGGATATACAGAGTAATATGATTATGTTTACATAATATATGAATGTTTGGTTTTGTTGTCAACAGATGGCGTTAAAATTTTTAAAAAATCAGTTAAATAGTAAATTCGCTCGAAAAAAAACAGTTTTTGTCAGTTTTTTGATATTTTCAGTTCAAAAAAATAATTTTATAGCAATTTTCTTTATTGTTATGAATAAATATTAATTAAATTAACATTTTGTTTGCTTGTTGACCAAAAAATTCAATTTGATTAATAAAATGAACACACAAGAAAGCCTTATCTCTTAAATGTTTTTTTTCTTTTTGGTAAAACATTTTTTATCATCCTGTACATGATGTTTTGCTGGTATTCTTGGCGCACGAAAAGGTTAGGCCGGGAAGCCGCGGAGGAAATGAAAATACTGCCGTTTAATTTAGATAAAAGCATATGTCGACGCCGAGTCGCGTACCTACCGCCCTCTTCGGGGGCGCAACGCAGCAACGCCGCCGCCGACGCCGACAACTTTGAGAGATAATCATCAAGCGCGTTACATTAAAAATCCCACAGCACGGCGCTGTAATATTTTCACAGCTAGTAAATGCTAATAACTAATAAAAGTATCATCGTCTGCGGTTTGAAGGAATTATCGAAGTAGTCGCATGGGGTGTGGACGATTGGCGCGCCGTTGCCCAGTCTGATACCCTGACTAGACATTGAAAATTCTAAATATTTGCATAACAAATTTTACATTTCAATGATGAATGATGATTTTTTAACCCAGTTTTTAAACAGATAGATGTTGAGGATCGAATGCGTCGCGTGATTAAATAAATTGTACAACAAATTATTTTATCTTGTGAAATTGAGCGCTATTAAAGCATTAAATTGCTATAATTTTAATAGAAAGCGACTGCGAGAGCCGGCATAATAGCCGCAAACA